TGCGACCATGCATGAGAACATTACACAAAGAGTCTCTGTAACTAACTCTGTCTCTAACTCTAACTCTGTAACCAATGCATTTTGAGAATACCAACCTAATTTGGAGACTTCAATTATTCGTGGCCAGTTTTTTCCTGTGTGAGAATGCCTGAAGTGAAAAGGCAGCTGATGGTGAAAAATATACTAAAAGCGGCTATACGTCTCCACCGAGGCTCAAGTTGATGCACAAGATGGGCGTTCTCTCTATCCCTCTTTCTGCCGCGCCCAGTTACTTTCAAGTCCCGTATACAAGTAGTATTGCTTTCGCCACATTCTTTCTATAGTTCTACGCAAACGAATTGTGTCCTGTATTGCGTATTCGCCGAAGAGCTTGCAGTCAATGCTGACTGAAAAGTAGAAAGTGGTTAGTATTCGTGAGGTCCAACGAATCCACATTTACTTCCGAAAACTCAGACGGTGTACCGCAAATGTATCCTCTATTCTACGGCGGAGTCCGGCAGAGTTTCTATAGGTACTGCCATGCTAAAAACGTACAAAAAGTGCGACGGTTTCTACATTCGTCGAACAATCGAAGCTCAGAAGGCGAATTCTGGCACGATCGACGAGAGCAAGGATTAAAGAGAGTTTTCTGACACCGACATATTCCATCTAAACCTCAGTGGTACCGAAACTAATGTAGGTGATACGATCAATAGCCTTGTTGGACTAAGAATTCGATTTTTTTGATCTGGCCAAAAATAATGGGTACACGTTTTGCGGTTTCGAAATCAAAGGAAGTTACGAGTTCTCGAGATGTCAAGGATTCTAGGAGAATCCCTCAGAACCTCGGAATAAAGAAAATTGCTGTTCGCGAAAGATTGCTGGTAGAAAAGTAATCACATAAGTTTTCTTTAAAATAATTTTTTTCAATGTGTTCTTCCACTATTAGGCTAAGACGAGGTTAATAAAAAAAATCATTATTCTATTGACGTTTCGGTGTCTTCGTCTTCCTCAGAGTCGGAGTGATTTGAGTCGATGATTGTCACAGGCGACCGTCCTCTTTTGTCCTCTTCGTAATTTTTCTAATCGACCTCGTGATAGTTTAATAATCTAGGAAAGCATTGGTTATTTTTTCCAAGAGTTAATAAAAGTAGGTTTTAGGAAATCCTTTTCTTCATTCACTGGGTCAACTAGTGGTGTCTTTTTTCGACGTCGGGTTTCCTGCCGAAGTCGCGAGTCCTCTATACCGCTTGGTAGTCAGAAAGTCTACTTTGTTTCGAAAACCTAGTTGACTGCAACATCGTGCCTGAATATCGTTTAATCGTTGAGTACTATTAAAAATATTTTCATATCTTTATGTTTATATCTTTTTGCAAGCCAATATGAGTCTGTTGTGCAATCTTTGTCATTTGACGTTAGTTGTTGTTTCCGAGAATTCCCTCTCAGAGCATTAAAGGCATTGCCGTCTACTCTATCAAATACTTCATTACCTTTTACAGCGTGAGCCGCTAAATCGACGTTTTAGTCATTTCTTAAGCGATTTTTCATCTTTGGTCTTTGGAGTTTACAAGTGAAGTCAGCGGATTTCATATTTTCCTCTTGAAATTTCCTGAGCTCATTCAATTACTGCTTGGACCTTGGTTTCACCGCTATATGACGACCATACTATTTTTCGCCATAATGTCCACGGAGACCTTCCTGACTCTTGAACGTCGGCAGAACTTAATTTCCCGGGGTCTTACGTTACCAGAAATTATTAAGCATGTTAATTATTTCCAGGATCGACTTTCTATTAACCTCGGCATTGGAATATGAATGTGTCGTTTTCTTGTTCAGCAATCGCGAGGTTTTTAAACAGCATACATTTACTTCCATAGAAAAACACAATACAATACAACGCTAGCTGACGTTTCGGCAGTATCGCCTTCTTCAGAGCCTGGAAGGGTATACTGATATACAATTTACTAGGCCAAACGCTTCAATAACACTCACACAAAGACGAAAGACTCTTTGCTAATTACATGATCAACAACTTCTCGAAAAAACCCACCGCTTTTTCGTGACTTCCAACGAGGAAGTTTAGAACAGCTGATTATAGTCGCATATGGTTGACGGCTGCACCATCCCAGTGGGATTGCTGAACAAGAAAACGACACATTCATTATTAAAATTATACTCTTATTGAAGCGGCATTTCACATTCGTCAGTCTTACTCGCTTAACGAGGTTAATTAAACTCATGTTGAATATCGATTCTTATTCATTTCTATTCTTGATGTCTATTAGATCACTGATGCTTTAGATATTAAATCGGTCTTATGAACTACAATGGTGCTGAGCTATTTGCAAAACTCTGGACCGTAGGTGTCTGCGGTGGGGTTTCGAACACGCCGTTACCATTTCCGGTGACTAACGCGTTCATCATCACACCTTGCGAGTCCTTCGTTTCGCTTGTCTCAGCCGTGTTATTGACCTATAACTTATAGGAGGCATCAGCAATCACCCGTCTACGGAATTGTTCTGGGGAGCACAAATCGGCATTGAACCCAGTTAAGTTGAGGCGCTAGTTGAAATCACATTGCTAATTTTTTATTTGCTGTCTACATTGTGTTAGCATTGTCATTTCAACTACAGCTTCGGGTTAACTGGGTTCAATGCCGATTTGAGCTCACCAGATCAATTCCGTTGACTGGTGATTGCCAATGGCACTGATCGACAGAACTAGCTGAAAGACAGACGAAGCGAAGAAAACGCACGGCGTGGTGACGAACGCGTTAGCCTCCAGAGAGGATAACAGAGTGTTCGAAACCCCACCGCAGACACCTACGGTCCAGAGTTTTGCAAATATCTCAGTATCATTGTGTTGTATTTCGTACAATACCCTGCTTTGAAAAATTATATTAGACAGCAAAAAAGTTGGCATCAGTCTTATGAACTCTTGACGTGAAAATATTTACACAGTTTTTTCTCTTTGTGCAACTTTTGGGTAATCTTCTGTGTTACTGAAGCCATCTAGAACACATCCTAATCCATCAAAGCTTAGGTTATTAAACATTTGTGTTCCACTTCAGCGTGGTGAAGACGAGTGTACTGAGTGCGAATGGCTTCGATAGATGAAGAATTGATAACTGGTCCTTTTTGAAGGTTACTAACAGTCATAATTCAATCTAAGATTTCGAGATAGCATTTTTGGTCTTACTTCAGAACTCATTTAGGTACTTTACGAGCTCCAATCTTTCTTGGTAAAGAAGTTAATCTTAAGATTTAAACCTAGAAAATTTCTCCATGGCCGACTGTCTGCTGATCTTGGGATTGATCGAACAATTCTTTATATTCTTGCTTAGCAAACACGAGGTGTTATTTTATTTCTTTACTCATGCACAAGCTGACGTTTCGGCGGATTTCGCCTTCCTCGGAGCTTGGGTAGCTCAAGTTGACTACAATCTACCCTGTCAAACACCTCCATAAAAAAATTTTCATCACTGTACCTTTTTATATTTTCCATTCTTTTTTTGAAGTGTTTCAGCGGTATTTAACTTTCTTATCCAGATTCTCTCCACCACTGTCTATCTCCTCATTTATTCAGTGATGCATCGGAAATTTTCTTGGTTTTCTTACTGCCTTTTCGTATGGTAATACACTGGTTGGCATACATTTTTTTGGAGGAATATGTATTGAATATGATGAATATAAGTCCAATCATGAATTAGGAGGAAATTTTAAGCAAGGTGATCTAGTAAATTTTGCTACGACAATAGCAGGAAATGACTGGAAGCTTTCAATGAGGAGCGTCGATTTAAACGCTGTCAGTTCCATTGAGCTCAAAAACAACTTGACGAATAGCCGTTTTATATTTTATAAAATGACCTACAAAGCGCTATATCATCTAAGAGCCTGACAAATACGAATATTAAGATGGAAATTGATGAGCATCTGGAAAAGGCAATGTTGAAAATCTGCTCGTTCTTTCCGGAAGGGAGCTAACATAGCGCTTACTGTGGAAATCGAAGAAACCCCTTCAGTTTTCTTTTATTCATGCTATTTCGTATTCTACAAGTAACGATATAGCGTCACATCTTGCTATAACTAGATACAAAGTGGAACAGCGAAAACTATAGTTGGAATCCCAACTACCATTTCTATTAAATCATTTATTTTACCAAAATCATCTCGTTCTATCTGTTTTTTTAGTTAGTGTTCTTCACTGAGGTTTTCATCATCATTATTTCCTCTTGCTTTTACATTCTAAAATTAGAGTCAGACCTTGTAATTCCGCATAAAATCAATGAGTTTCCTCACCAACACCTGTCCTGTGATAGATATGGGTATTGATCGATGTTCGATTTCATGGTAAAATTGTCTTTGTCTAGTTGATTTAACTGTTTATCCCAATTGTCTTTATTATTAGTTCGTTTTGTAGTACGAAAGGACAAGTTTAGTCTTTGGTGATCAAGATGGGATTAGCTCAATCATTTCCTAATCGGCAGAAAAAGGAGAAGGTACGACTAAGAATGGTCACAGCAATTCTTCTTGAGAGGAAAAATTTCTTCGCATTGATTAGAAAGGATGGTATAAAATTACATATCTCTAAATGAGTTTAATATTCCTCTTAATCTCTGTCCATTCTTAACGTTTTAACCTACAGCCTTCATTATGTTACCTGCTTTCCCGCCATTCAAAACAACGTGAAGCGAATTCTTAGACGGATAAGATTCCAATGAACGGCTAAGGTTTAAAAAGGGTATCAATTTTTAAGTTTTCAGCGGTTTCTAGTCCTAAGTTTTCAAAATGTCCCCATGTTTCTGGACAAGTGAACAGGTTTTGATCCTAGATAGAGTATCTGCCACTTTCGTCTTGTCAACTGGCTTCTACACTCTACTTTTATTGTAGAAAAAGTCTTGTAATGATTTCTGAGATGGATAGAATTTAAATTGAGAACTAAGCAAAGAAATACTATTTTTTTGAATGCATTTAACGATTCTTTACACTAGAGGGTGCAAAAATAATGAGTTTCCCGATTAAATGACTCGATTTCGATCCCAGGTAGAGCGACTTTTTCGGCAAAATGAGCGCTCAAGGAGAACGCGTAGCCTCGACTGCCGAATCGAGGAAACACGACGATCATTCGGTGGCACACGTAGTAGTGCTTATTCTAGACGATCGGACTGTCGACTACTTGAAGAGAACGGTCAGTGAATTTTGTAGAAAGCTAGAAAACACCACAGTTTTAGATCTCCATTCCACCAAGCCCATATCGGGTTTTTGTGTGCTCCAACCGAGGTTAGCTAAGTTAAACCGGGTTCTGTTGCTCTTTTATGATAATTTGCACGAAAAATTCTTCCTTCCACAAAAGTCCCAGTTCGCCCAGACCACAAGTGTCGTGTTGGTTATGCACAAGGAATTTTTTAGTAAGACGAAATCAATTATCCGCAAAAACTTGCCCGCAACCTTTAAGGAGCTGACAGATGGCCTGTTTTCCAAAACAAAAAAAAACTGGCTGGATTTACACAGCGTTTTTCAGTAAATGGATCGATATCCGGTCTTTCACAGAGCGAGAAACGCATGATTAAGATTTGTTGGCTTAAATGCTCTCAAAAACAATTGAAGAAATGCGCGGAGGATATTTTCAGGGATATTTTACGTAGAGATCAAACACTACTAAAGCTGTTCAAATTGGTAAGCTATCATCTTCTTTGTTGCACTCAAAATTTTGCTTAGGATTCCATTAGAATCTTAAGTGGTGAATTCTGCAGCATTTTACATCATTGCATGTTAACTTGTTGATGATAAGGAAGTGTAGCGCAGTGGTTAGAGGTACTATGCAATTAGCAAATGGTCTTGCTTCAATCTCGCACACTGCAGACCGAGCCTTCTATCCCTTCGGTACCGCAGAATTGTCTTGGAGTGTAGTGAAGCGAAATGATACATCAGAAAGACACGCAGGTCATTGGATAGGCCAGATATGTAGCCAATCATCTCTACTATGCAACGATTTCAAACGAATATATGACTCTCGTAGCTTGATCAATGCTGAAAGCTTTATCGGTCTATCCCATAACTTATGGATCAATGGCGTTAACACCAACACCGAACCAAAATGGCCATCGTCTAATTTTATTTGTGTAAATAGCAGAGTATTTATTTCTCTAAAGGCCTGAACGCCTCCCTCCAGTCTTCGATAATTGAGTGCTATGAGGACCAATGGAAATCCTCTATATTTTTACTGAGCCAACACGAGGTGTCACTTTATTCTTTACTACAGTAAAACTGACGTTTCGGCGAATTTCGCCTCGTTCAGAGCCTGGAAAAGTCAATTTGACTGCAATTGAGCCAACCGATAAAGTTATTGGTTTAGCACTTTTTCTGTTTGATGATCGAGGTGTTCGGCTGAGTAGGTTGCAGCCAACTTGACCCTTACAAGCTCTGAAGAAGGCGAAATCGGCTGAAACGTAAGCTTTGCCGTAACAAAGAATAAAGTTACACCTCTGTTTGCTCAATAAGAACATAAAGAATAATTTGATCAATACCGAGGTTAATAGAAAGACGGTTGCGGAAATTGCCGATTGAAAGTTCCACTCCTAACACAATATTACCGCGTTGCGTGGTTATTGCACGAATACGAATTTCTTCTTATTGGGTTTCGGCTAAAGTCAGAAAGAAGGTCAAAAATCCTGGCAAAAAAAGGTCACGTGAATTCTAAATGCGAGTTTTGCTTATGTAAAAGCTGACCACTTGTGTTAGACAGACGGCTTTATTATCTAAAGAGATCTCGAAAGAATAATGCGAGGTACATTACATTCTAGGCCACATTTATGCCTTTTCCTATTAATAGAGCCAAATATTTGAAATGAAAAAGTAATGAAGAACAATCATCAATCCACGATCCACGCCGCAATCCATTCGATTCCATTCACATTATTGTTGAGGTGGCTTAATGGATGTTTGCCTTATAGAGTGATTTTCGGGGTCAGTGTGTGAAATCAGTACTTTGATCATTCCAGACAAGTCTAGTACTAATTTCCTGACCACAGAAGTATGGAAGATTTAGTAAATTCGAGTGACGGTATCGAGCCAGTAACTACGCGTGTATTGCAAGATATCTTTAGCCATTATGTTGCATACACGCTGAGGACCACATAAAGGACCAATGGATAAAACTCTCGGAGTTCCCTTATTCCTAAATTCCCTAAGGAATGCGCTATGCATCCAATTTCACTAATCATCGTTGAAGGTGATTGAATGCATATCTGACCTTTATGATTCGTGGTGGTCTGCTGATGTATCGAGCCAGTGCTGCTATCCCCCAGACAAGTCTGGTATCAATTTGCCGACCGCGGAAGGATGGAAGGCTTGGTGAGCCACGAGCGCGGGGATCGATCCTTTGTGTGTTGCAGGACGTCTCTGACCATTCCGCCACACGCGCCTCTCATACGATATCAAAAGCAAAAGAAATGATCTCGCTCGTCGGAAAGCAATGTCCGAAAAGCCATTTCCGTTTCAGGAATCGGCACCACCGACTCGGCTACGGAGCAATGAGTTCTTCAAATCACACGCAGGAAATTTCGCAATAGTATTAAATTCTGTTGCCATTAACATCGGCGAAAATTTTCAGAACACATGTGAAGCTCTGCAGGTTTAATTTGTTTTCCCAGTGTTACAATATAATTCTTTTCAAAAATTCATATCTTCTGCTTGGAGATCCTCTTGTCGTGAAATACTTTGCAGTCAAGGAGGAACCGCCTACCTTTCAGCAGAATGAGAGACTTATTTTTTCACGTGGAAGCAAAAAAAAACTGTTTTTCGCTTGATGATATCGTTCAGATTCTCGGCTATCAACACGCGGCACTGAAAAGTCGCGGATTTCAAACAGCATACTGGGATATTTTTACGGACTGTTTCGAACAAAATCGACCAGTATCATTTAGAAAAGAGAAGGAGAACGAGGTTTGTTTGTGAATTTTGTCGAGCATTTGTGCTTCATCATCTTACATATTATTTTATCCATACCCTTAAAAATGACATCGTTGTGGCTGGAGAATATTCCTGGGTCTCGAGCTGAGATGTACTTTAGGAGTCGAACTTCCTAACAAGGTCTCCCAAATTGAGAACAAGCTTGATTGTCCATCCGGAAGCACATCTGATAGCAAATGAATGCCAAGAACCATCACTGTCTCGGTAATAAAATGGACGTGGAGTGCTAATTCTTTCCCTGAGCCATGACTTTCTGCAAAGGAGACATCGCGAGAGGTTCTTATGTAGGCTTTGTGTATAAACAACATTTTTCTTGGCCATTATAATCAGCTGGATTCAGTTCAATGCACTGTCCTGATATATGAGCGGATCCTTAAAGAATTTCTTATAATGTCGGAGATGCAAGCCCTAAATAACTTGCACAAAGCGGTATGCGTTTTTGTAACACGCTATCTCTATTTCTAAATGGTTGAAACTAGACATTGAAATAACTGTGTCATGAGAAGTACATATGGATCAAGTAATAAGCAAGGAAACTGCACCAACAGCAGTATCAGTAAGACGAAAAATGGAATAGATTTCCTCCAATTACATATAAACTGTAAATCAGAGAACTTCTTGCACTGGATTCATTTCTTTGCACATACTGGTCTTCCGTGTGAGTATGGCAGCTACTTGAAGACTTTTCGTGATGAAAGTCATTGAACAATGGTCGAGTTGGTTCTTTCTGCATTCCTGCGATGGCTTCACTAGAGCGTTCCCAGATCCTCATCACAGGCAGTCGTCGGAATTGTGGATTCGTATGACCAATTGAATCCCAGGGGGTTTGGGAACAATTTCTCAAACCAGGAGAGATGGGGGCTTGGTTGGCCCGATGAAGAGGCCAACAATGGATTTACGAATATTGAACAACATCACTACCCATAAAATAAATTTGCCATAAATAAAATGTTTTGCTAAGAGAAGAGACAAGTTTTTTGTTACAGTAACGCAGAGTTATTGATTCAGTGCTGTTTTCAGCGCGGTAAACATAAAAAATTTTGTTAAGGTGTTGAAGTGGGGCCTTCTTTTTTGCCGAAACTTTAGAAATTCCCATTACTAACATTCTCATTTGTTGACCGTCCATTCTGTCCTTATCGCTATAGTGTACCACTAGTGAAGTCAACTTTACTACACTTCATTTAGGTAATCACCCGGAGTGAACACAAATAAACTTCATTCACTTTTTCCATCAGAGTAGTCCAATTCGTTCCACTTATTCGACGGATGCATCACATTTCTAGTTCAAAACCATTTATTTCGACTAGCTTTGGTGAGGAGATAGTTGGTAGGCCATGGGTGGCTCGCCGACTTTTACCGTGCAATACGTTTAGTCCTGTTTGGCTTTCCAGAGAATAACTTCGGTCTTTCCACACATAGGAACATCCCATAGACTCGATTAAGCAAGTACCGGTTGAGGAGAGGTTGGGCTATAGACGAAATAAAGAACCATCTTCTACAATATTATACACAGCATATAAACCTCATATAAATCTGCAAAAAGTTTTAAAACTTAATGTGAATTCACAGGTTGCTTTCAGGCATGGAGTCGGATGATACTATTTATACTGGCACAGATGAAAATCGGCTATCAACGTGGGCTAGCTGATCAAAAAAAGGAGCGCCTCGGTGCCTTAGCCATTTATTGATGTTATACCTATTTTCCTTAATTCGCTAGGGTTTTCACTGTATTTCACACTATACCTATTATTCTGCTTCATACATGTTCTAAGTATTGTGTGGTTTACCGTAGGTACCTTAGTTCAGCTCTCATGAACCGTAATTTCAGCATCACCAAAACCGATATATTCCATAGTTAAGATATAAAGCGATTATCTTTGTTCGATTGGATCTAAATGAAAACCAAAAGGTACGACGATTAAACATTCAGCGATGATTATTCTCTGAAGGATGCAACAAGGATTCGACTTTGTCAAGCATCTTCTAGAGGTGATTGAATGCATATCTTACCTATACAAAAACTTCCAATAGCTTACTGATAAATCAAATCTGTGTTTTATCCAGGTAGACAAGTGTGGAACAAAATTGCCAACTTAGTAAGCAGGGAAGGTTTGGTGAGCCTTAGCCACGAGATCTAAACCATGTATACTGCAGGACACCTCTAAGCCTTGCCCTACAAGCGCTCCCAAATGAGTGCTAAAGATATGTTTCATCTACATCGTTGCATTATTTTAATGATAAGTCCAACATATGGTCGTTATGAAGCTTTATTTCGCTAGTATTCTGTAGTCTTTGCTTTTTTAGAAAGCAGTAGTGGTTCGAGTCGAACGTCCACAGTAGTTATTTTTTTCCGATATGGGTAAAGAAACAAATAGAATGAACTCAAACACCTCATGAACTTGATTGGTTTGTCCTCCTCGGCTAGGAAACGAAACCAATTGTCGCTCTCATTTATGAAGGTAACTGAAGAATTCGAAGATACCCACTCCAGTGAACATGAAAGGTACACCATAAATCTATCGTTTCTCATAAACACCGTTTGGTGATAGACCAGTATTCCCAGACATGTTGTCAAACTTACATTAGCTTTACATGGTCGCTGTTGCATTCTTTCTACATGATTACTGCTCAATTGAAACGATGTCACAAAAAAAGCGAAAATGGCATCACTTCGCTTCGATCTTTACGACGCTATTGAACGACGAATCTCCAGCTGTGAAAATGCTGTAATGCTCACAAAAAATCTCTATCCAATGAGTAGGAATGCTCTTACTACTCAAGATTCCACTAATGCTTGAGCAAAAGTTCTAAACCGAATACTTCTTCAAGCCAATAAATGTGGAACATAAAATGAAACTGCGGAAAACGAAATCCCGGAAAAGGTAATAATAGAGGATTCGAAGCCGGTCTTGGGTTCTGAGCTTTGCAATGATCTCAGCATCATTGTGGCAGTATTTCACATAATACCGAACCATGATAAAACAATAGGCGGTAGATTGAGACTTAAAATTGTGTACTCAGTAATCGTCCATCAGTGAGTTCCTTGGCCACATATGGATATGATCGAGTACAGAACCACCTTTATAGCCGTAGTTGTTCGCAGTACTCTTCGTTCTACATTGTTCCAAACATGCACGCTGAGAACGGCTTAGGACGAGAAGATATAAACAGAGAGTAGCCATACGAAGTTACCGCTGATGCCATGTAAATTCCTGTTCTGCACAAAGAACATGGTCCTACTGTGTTTTTAAAGTCTGCATCTTCTATTTTAAAACTGTGCAGAGCCTGTGGCAAGGTCTACCTGCAGGCTGGTTCGATATTTGATAATCGCACTGTTAGAACCGGTTTTGTATAACAAACTTTCATAGACAAGATGACATATTGGACTTCAGGAATTGCTGAAATATTGTTCTTCCGAAGCTAGCGCGAATAAACAATGACGTTTTCCAATCTCCCTCCGAACTCCATAAATATTTCCACTTTGAGATCGAAAAGGGAAGCACCTTCCTACTTCAACTTATAGTAATTCCCACTATCGATTTTCTGTTAACCTTGGCATTGATCAAATAATTCTCTATATTCTTGGTGAGCAAACATGAAGTTCTTATGCCATTCTTCATTTATGAACAAGCCGACGCTTCGGCGAATTTCGTCTTCTTCGGAGCTTGGAAAGGTTGACTGCAATCTACCCAGCCAAGCATCTCCATAACCAGACAGAGAAAGTGATAAACCAAGATTTTAATCGCATTTAAAACAAAATCGCAAATTTTTCGCACACTCGTCGTTTTCTATGTCTTCAACTGAGCATGTCACGTGGAATACCGCGCACAATTCACATGGAAGCGTAATATGTCTCACCTTTAAATACCAGTATTTAAATCCTGTGTGAGATCATGCGTGATTATGCGGCATTTCTATTTGTGGTCCACGTTTGGATTCTTGGAATTTATCCAGAATGCCTCGAGACTTTTGTGCGCTGGCGCTTTTGATTCCCGTGGCAAGCATGGCAACTTCTGCTTCAAAATCTTTCCCGTTATATCTCTGTGTCCACTGCTCCTGTAGTGGAGCAGTTAGCTTAAGTTTAAGCTTGCCGAGTCGACTGCACTTTATACAGGTCGGAGTCCAGTTCGGCGAAACAGGGAGTCCATTCCTTAGATCCACCTGTGTCTCAGGGAAACATAAGGTCAGCGATCAACATCGTATCAGCCATCTGATGATGCGCCACGCTGCCTCATGGGTAACCGGCATAAGATCCTTTGAAGGAGACCCATGGTTTGGATTAGTATAAGGAGGAAGCTATTGGAGGCAGCTCAGAAACAATCCAGTCTGAAGTGCCCGCAGGACCTTTGCGACTATAATGTCCCGCTATCTGTCGCGATGAACGAAGAAGGGCTATCACTAAATTCCGCGATGATGTGTAATTGATAACGGAAAGGTTCTATGCTAATCTTTTCCACTCCAAGATTCCGTCTCGGACATCGAATCCCCACTTGTGAAAAAACGCCCGGTATTCTACCCTCCGCAGTTCGGGTTGAGACACAAAGCATGAACACGGGCACAGATCGGGTACCCGATAATACTACCACCGATTTTATTAAAGCTGGTAGCCACAAATTACATGTACTTCTCGCAACCCACATCACAACTTACCTTCAATAAGAGAAAATCCTAGGCCAATGGAGGACCTCATCCGCTGTCAAGAAGGGTGACCGAAGCGATCTTCATAACTGTCGCCCAATAGGCTTGTTGAGCGTGCTCTAGAAGCTGTTCACAAATGCTTTTGCGCATATCGAAGACCTTGGATGAGACACAACCAGTTGAACAAGTAGGATTTCGGCAAGGATTATGCTGCATGAACCATATCCAAACCGTATCACAGGTTATAGAAGTTTGCCAGGAGTTGGAACTGCCTATTGTTCTAAGCCTTATCGACTATGAAACAGCGTCTGACAGCGATGAAACTAATGCACTTCTATCAGTGCTCGTCGACCAATGAGTAGATCCGTCCTATACACTAGCAAACTATTACTGGAGCTGCAGCACACATATAGAGCATTTTCATCGGCGCCACACCAAACCCATAGGCGAGTGGGTTCGACAGGGCAGCACAATACCGCCGAAGCCGTCTATTGCTGCACTGCAGCGTACAATGAAGTTCCTCAATTGGTGCGAGAGGGTCATTTGATGGGAAATTCCTACCATTTTCGTTTTATGGATGACATCGTCATCCTTCCAATAAATACCAACAAAGCAGAGGCCATGGTAAATGACCTTAACGAAGCGAGAAGTTTCATAGTGAGAAGAACAGATCGAACTGAGTTCCCTCATTACAGAAACGACTTACATGGCCGTTCGATAAACGTAGTGAGAAACATAAAAGAATTAGAGAGAAGAATGAGAACAGCTTAGACTGCACTAGGGCCACTCAAAGAAGCCACCACCTTACTAACGGTCCTAAAACTCTGCGCTTACCTTTTCGATTCAACAGTCATCCAAGCAATCTGTTATGTGGCAGAGGCGTGGGTTAACACCTCAACCACATCAAGAATACTGCCGTATCACCCACAGAGCGCTTGAGCGAAGTCTTCCGAAATTAAACCGGCACTAACGCCTAGCCGGAATGGGTAGCTCAGATCTTCAGAACCTATTCCGTCTTCGGCAGTCAAGAGAATACACACCAATATCAAAGCATAAGTGGGCGGTTACATAATAAGAACAGATGACAGATAAACGCAAGGGACAGTGGAGTGGGCTCGAGAAGAATGCAAGCGTCCTCTTGCAAGACCACTCAAACGATGGCCAGATGTGTTCGTGAATAATGTAAACCATCAGCATTCAGAGATTGCAACGATTTCAAGACGATGGAATAGGCCTCGCGTACGTCACCATGTCCGAAAAAGACCTCCAACATGGACGACAAGTGCGCGAGAAAGAAAAGAATGGAAATTTTGTTCGGCTCACACAGCCCATTCAAGTACCAAAGTAAGGAAGTTTCTTTTCATTCTCTATGCCTCTTACATGCCCCTATATGTCTGCTCCTACAACTTCCTCTGTAATGATGGCAGTGAAAGTTTAGATGGAACATAACATCGAACGCCATTATTCTAAACACTCTTTACTACAACATATGATTGTAGCAGAAAAAAAGAGTTTGTCCATGTTTTCAAGGAAACAAATTAATCAAAATAAGTCATAAGTCCAATCTTAGAAAAGGATAAAACTTTATAGATCATTGCCAAATTAACAATGAGTGAGTGTTGGAGGAAATAATATTGGCAAACATCACAATTGTATTCTGCTACGTAGCTAAAGTGCATAACAATTGAGGTGAAGTTGACATGATAGATTTCATAGAGCTAAGTAGCAACAGTTGAGCTCGACAGAAATTAACAATGAATTTAGAAACTTGAGGAGTAAAAACTCACAGCATTTAAATATAATTCTATTATTAGTCAGATTTCACATCACCACCCGCTTGCACAGTCAGTGGTTCGGCACCTATGGGTGGAAGATTCAACTTTGGCCTTGGGCGACCGTATAATGACAACGACTGGCGGAACTGATCCATACACTCGATCTCTTCCTGAAATTACCATCGGTAATGTGCTCAGTGTAAAGTTTACCAAAGCACACGTAGTACCTCAAAATATGGACAATTACGAGTTCTTTGTTGGATGCCTTCGAAATTTTTTGATCATAATTCTGTTTAAAGGTGAAAGCCTTAAAAAATAAAGCGAAATCCATGGTGGTATAAACCTTAATGGAGGTGAGGCATTCGCAAACAAGCAAACGTGAGGGGGATGGACATCTCCTTCCCCGTTCCACGAAATTCCGACCGTTCAACCACTTCGATGTTCGAAACACGAAGATTAACGAAGAGATGCGGAACGGAATACTCTGTGTTTCAGAAAATTGGATTTTGGTCTTTGTGAAATGAGAGAACTTGCATCAGATGCAATAAAACACCGTTGGGAAAGATCTGTACGTTCTAATGGTTTTCCTTTCATCAATGAGAGTCGATTGTTAAGATTTTCATTTCAGTTAATAAAGTTAATTAACAGCTGCTACGTACTTTTTTGAACTTGAAGAGCGTAGTTATTCTGGGCTACGTGTTGTCTACAACGCGCATAGTCCGTTATGTGTTAAACGCCCTTTAACCAACGAAAGCAAACTCGAGCCAATTTAGCAACAATGAAATTTTCCAAATGGAGATCTGTTATATACGTGATGATGGACAAAAATGTGAGCAGTAAAATAAAGGTACGGTATTCAGGATGCTTTAATCCAGCAGCAAGAACCAAGCTGCATAAAATGGCAGTATTGGGTGATGTTACTTCCATTGTGCCGTGCTTCAGTCAGTTCACTCTATTAAACTGTATGCGATTAAGAATACTCATATCATACGAGAAAAGTGCTACAAACACCCGCTTCCAAACATCGGAGCATTGAAGAAAGCATTGGCGCGAAAACGTTAGCTACAACACCGGTTGTTTTAACGACCTCGTGTAAGCTTATCAATAAACCAAGACTTTGATTACCCGCGGTGATTTTAGGTGGAGGTCGATATCGAAAACAAACTAAACCCTGGCTTACGACAAATTAACCGAAATGTTAGTGGCCTCTGCGAATTTCTTGAAGTACGATGTATATTTGAATACTTTGAGTCAAGCGTCGTAGAAGAGTTCCCAGTGGTATTGCCTATGTTCAGCAACATCCATTCTAAAAACACGATTAGTGGTACCCTTTTGTATCAGATTGTACAAATTTGCTTTCGGATAGCACTTTGCTTTGAACACAACACTGAGTAGAACACAGAACCACCAAAAAAAAAAAAACGAAATTGAAGTGGTAAAAAACCAATATACGCAATCTCAAAGCGTACTATCGAAACATGCTGCATCAGTCTTCAGTACTGTAGCCCAGAAATGTAACAAGTTTCTAGAAATTGATTTATCCGACCTACTGCGAAGAAGGCAAAAAAGGAATGAATACGTAGCTAAGTTTAAACTAAGCGATTTAAATTACAAAGTAATAAGATCGATATGCTGTCGTTAGAAATAGCACTAAAAACAAAGAACATAAAAATGTACTCACCAATTCTTTTTCACATGAAGTGGCCCGCTTATCTCTCAATTTCATCTCAACATCGTTTTTACTCTCATCTTTGCCGTGCACAAATAAGGCGATCTTAAAAATTTCAACAATATAAAACAATACGGTAGTGAGAAAAGAATTCACTCTTATCTAACTCTGAAGTTGGGTTTCAAGGAATACGCTAAAAGCTCACCTTTCTCCTCTCTGGTGCTGTGGGACTAAACTTAAGATCAAAATATTCCAGAAGTTCTTCTTTGCCAACAGCGTGTAAAACCTCTACTTCAGCAAAATCTGAATAAAAAGAGCTTCCACTCTCTCTACTCCCAAGTTTTTAATAAAATTCAAGAGAAGAATTATTAAGAAGTAAAACCATTCCGCTTCAGTTATCATTCAAAATCATTCAAAGAATCTCACTTCGATCAAAGTCGTACTGTCTGCACTGGATTTCGTTCCAAAAACGTCGAGATCGAGCTCCTAAGGTTTTTGGTTTCTCGAGTAATCGAGTAATTAGTCCGGTTTTTTGTTGCTCAAATTCTTCATCCGACATCGAAACAATGTCGTCCTGTAATTTAAAAACCAGGCCTGAAAAAAAATTAACTACCAGTAGTTAAGCAAGAGCAAGGATAAGCAGCAAGACTTAGGACTGAGCTCCTATTGCGTAACAAAACAAACCCTAATCTTCTCAAGGAATGCTTCCATTCGATTAAGTATATGATCTGGGCATGTCGGGCCTTGTACAATAAGTTGAAGGGCCAAGGTTCCAGATGTAAGCCTTGGGCCAGTCCAAACAATATAACCTAAATATTGCGAAGTTGCCCACTAATCATTTCCTTCAGAAAGAAACCAGTTTTGTGTTCAGGAAAATCATTATGAAATATCATTACCTTCTATCAACATCAATACCGACTAAAAGACATAATCAAGTTTCCATACGCAAAAGATCCAATACAGATATAGATATACATATATATCACATACACTGCCAAAATTCTATCCACTATCAGATATTGTTTCCAACTGATTACAGCTTTTGCAAGCGTATTTAGAACTAAACCACTTCCACAGCATAGAAGCTTAACACACCTAACTGCTCCACCGTTCTTAGCTGATTGAAAGCTGGTTCACGTAGCAATTGAACAAGTAATTCCACTAGAGCATTTTCTCGAGTAGTCTTTGATGAAAGAGAGAATGAAATAAAAGATGAACCAGTTAAAAAAAGAATTAAAATGCAACACCATTAATAAAGGGAAATATCACTGCTACGAGGCAACACCTAAAAGAAACTCACCTGAACACCAGCTTGGTACAAAACTTCCACACAAGACACTTCATGAGTATCCTGGAAGTGACGATACACGTATGAATCACCTGTAATGAATTTGACCAAGTCATTCTCTTTGGTCAGCCCCTCATAAATAGCTTCAAGAAAAAGTGGCAATTTAAAAAAAAAAAACGTACACACCATTCTCAAGAGCGTGCTCTCTCAATAGTGCATATTCGTTTCTGAACAATGGACGACTCTTCGTCGAATTGCGCAAAATTTTCGTCATCATGTGACCAAGTGACATCGCTTCCTAAATACTATGAGAAGCATTTTTTTTAAAAAAATTGGGTCCCGGCGGATTATCAACCACGTCATTACGATCATGACTATTACATGTCCTTACATCGATTGTCATTAACCCTATATTTCCTTCCTACCTCAAGAAAAGAGGAAGCCACAAAACTATCAGTTGTTTTATGTATGAGGGTGAATGTTCCTCTAGAGACTAAAGCTATACAACAGTAACAATGAAAACGTTAACTGCACCTGTTCGGTGGCATTCCCATGGACAAATAACTCAATGTGAAAAGCACGCAAAATCTCCTTCCCGAACATTTCAACTTCATGCACGTCTATACCTGATATAGTAATGATAAAAATAGTGGAAAAAATATGTTAACTTTTTATTTACTGCGTAATAAAATTTCTCACTACCGGGTATTATGCCAAATACAACCACAATGCTGAGATATTTGCAAACTCCGGACCGCAGGTGTCTGCAGTGCGGAACGAACGCGCGATTACCCTTTCCAGGGGCTAAAGCGTTCACCACCACACAATGTGGACTCATCGTTTCGCATATTTCTTAGCTGGTTTTCCATCTACCAGTGTTATCAGCAATCACTCGGCAACGGGACAAAATTTGTTTAGGTGTGGGCATATATGGCGCTGTGGCTAGAGGTGTGCTCTGACCGCTGATTTGATCTTGCGTTCCGGGCTGGCTACCACATATACAGAAATGAAATCGCTCGCTCGTAATATCTACGTAGGATAAAATATTCACACCTTAATCGCCTGGTAAATCATAAATAACACCGAGGTAAATGAAAACTTTGATACACGAAAGATTTAAAAACACACAAGTAGAAAAACCCTAACCTTTACACACAGCAAGCAGTTGTTCTTTGCTCCAGAATTTATCACTGAGGAGCATTTGAATATAATGCTGCGACAGCGTGTACGGCTGAGAATGAGCGAAATTCTCCAACGCCCTTTTTATAGTGTCGAACAGCACCTCAAAGCGCAATGGATCTGAAAATTTAAGGATAGAGGAGATTACCTCGCTCACATTAAACCATTTCATTTTTCTTATTTAGGAGGCTCAGGATCGCTACTTCATCATCGTATAGCTCTTAATTAGGCTACTGATTCTGATCAAAGTTCTCACATCACTGCCTCCTATGTTCCACTTCACTGTTTGAATTTATAACAGCATAAAATAGAAAATGAACACTTTCTGTGATTAACAAACGAAACTTTTAAGATATGTTTGCCTGTAGGGCAGTAAAGCAAATGTTATGATGATGACAATGGAAGAAGTAGCGATTATTATATTAAACTCAAATCCAATGGTTAACCTGGTTTGAAGTCGGACATTCGTCTCACAATATGCTCTACGAATAAAGGTTGTTTCTCGTCATAACCAGTTACCTAAAATTAAATGAGAACTACCAAGCTCACTCTGATATTAAAACGTCTTAAGTAAGCAAAATTTATAGACCAACATGAACATGTAGCATGCATAGCGGACATTTACATCTCAAACAATGACAGATGAAACGAGTACTATTCATATGTTAAGACGGTCAAACTAGAAGTACGTCGCAAAAGAAAACGTAGCTCGAGTAAATGTGAAATATCAGCAGTACACATATCACCATTCAAACATGGAACTATTTCAAAGTTAGCAATTTTATAGCTGGCCTCGGGATTCCAGGAAACCAAAATCGCTTGACTAGCATATCTCCGAAAAATGGAGATTATGCTGGGGCCCACACAGCCAGTGAGGACGGACCATTCAAGTATCAAGCATCGAGTATAGCTGGATATGCAAATGTAATATTAATAGTACGAAAATATATTGAAAGAGCATGTGTCTTCACATTATTTGTAATGCCGATGAAACATCGTGATCCATCGAGTGACGGGACGAGGCAACAGTACAGTCTCCAATCGTCCCTGCCGCGCGAAAGTTTTTCAGCCGATTTCAACACACGAAGGACACGAGACCCTCTTTATTTTTAATGTTTTTGAGATGAGTTCAACCATGCACGCAGCCCTTGTGGTGGAGGTGAGGTATTCTCGATAGATTTGAGTAACAATGAGATAAACGTTGTGCATATCTCTTCTCTGAATCCACCTTGAACAGCTCGCCATGTACTTTTCACTGAAATGGGATACAGACAATACAAGTTTTTCAGCAGAGACAGATTTGATCCATTTCGGTTAGCGTCCTGCCCTATTCACTTGGGTAGTCGCAACGTATAACTTCACGAATTCAACTTCCAGCAGCTTTAGTTCCTCCGTTTCACATAGAGCACAAGAATTGCTTACAAAAAATGCCGATTATTGTCGTTTACAAGGTTATCGATCACGTCAGAATCGTATGGTAGCTGAACATGGAAAATAGCGAAAATGGATACTTAGATACTTAGACGGCCCGTCCTCAGTGGTTGTGCAGGTCCCAGCACATTCTCCATGTTTCGGAGTTTTGTTGATTTAGTCATTGTGTTTCTCTGGAACCCTGAGGTCAGTTTGGCCAAAGTCTCCCACAGGTTGTCACCACCAGAGGCAGTCGTCGCCGTTGTGGATCAGAGGGAGATTTGCCACTATGCGACTAGTTAGATACCAGGATGGTGGTCTGTCGATCCTGGTATTGGTTTACTCTTAGATGAGCTTCCTGATGGAAACGCAGGACTCCTCAGCCTGCGATACCCTGCCGGGGAGATGAATCTCTACACTGTACATCACACTCCCACACCAAGGAACACCTCCCAACCACGTTGATGCGGGAAACCGTTGGAGGAAGCGAAAATAGTTAAATGTTAAATGGAATAGTGAAAATAGGTCAGTCTTAGAGAGGATACTCGACCATAACGAAAAGGAAAAATCACTTGCAATAAAATATTTCATGCTTCTACAAGTTCATACCACTACAGGTAAGAAGAAGCAATGTAGGATTAGACGATTTAGTACGAAGATCAAACGAGATTTTGCAGCAGCTAGTGTTAATCTGCTTGCTATACGACTATGGTGCAAGTGTATTATGCTTATTCCAGAAGAAGAAAATTATATGTACGTAAACTTACGAAGTACTGCTTTCTCCACTGCTCCACAAACCCAAGACTTCATTTCCATGGCTGCCACTTAGCCAGTAAAGGAACGCACAATACAACACAAAATGAAAATGAAACGGAAAAGCTTGTTTCTCCTATAATCTATTCTCTCCATAATTCCCAGTGATAATGAGTCGCCAAAACTACCAGCTTTTTGCTAGATTTGTTAACGGCCAGCGATAGAAAAGATCAGTAACGAGAAATTGAAACGTTCCATGGAGAATTCCTAGACTAGAGAAAACAATGAACATCAAAATATCCTGAAGCATTCAAAAACAACGTCTGGAAAGAAAAACTAATCTAACCTGCGAACGTAAATCAAATGCGGAAACAACACCGACGAACATCATAGGTCTTCGGGAAACTGATGATATATAGAAGGACATGGAGAATGAAGTAAGAAAAAGAGAGAAAGCAACATAGATGGCATATGAGAGAACCTAAAGCTAAACGACCGAATAAAGACCGATATGCTCTCTTAGTTCAACGGTTATTTGTGCCGTACTTATATTTTTACTAAGCGCCTTACACAACATTGTGTTGCACGTAACATTTACGACCTCAGAAAAATATTCGCCGAAAATATGGCGCAACATGTATCTAGCAACGGGACATCCAAGAACGTTGTCATTACGTGAGAAAGACGTGAACTGAAAATAAAGTTGTGAAATGATCCAGAGAAGAGGAAGACGTCATGAATAGAAACCATGAAATCCTGCTCAATCGCAACTGGTTCCTATTCATCGGAAACATTCGGCCGTGATCGAGCGCGAAAACAGTGAGGAAGAAAGAATTTGCTATGGTTAGATACGAAGTGTGAGGAAGGGATATAGGACGAAACTATCCTGATTAACAAAAAAGGGAAAGATGACAAGAAAAATTACTAAGCATGAGAGTCTGCGCTGCGTCATCTTACCTCGAACATTTGAAAATTTCGCAGAACGACAGAAGCAAAGAGAAATTATAACATGCGTTAACTAAACTAAAGCACACATGAACAAAAGACACACACGTAGGTATACGAATGCCTCCTGAGGGCGTTGCTCACGGCTCACTTTAATATTTGCTCCATATGTGCCAAGTTCTAGATGACATTTTAAACCAGCCAATTCAGCGTTGTAAACTTCCTCAGTTAGTGCATCCTAGAAGGTATTTGGATAAAAATACAGAAAAGATATAAAATATAAATATCCCTTACGTTCAGACACCACAGAAACATCGACGATAGCATGGTTGCCCTCGGATCAGCAGCCACAATGGGTGCTGTTATAGCTGCCTGCAACAAAGAAACCTATATTATGTAAGACAAGAGATATTTCGACTTACATGAGTAACCATTTTTGGAAGCTTGTATTCATCATCTTGTTTGAACCAAATGCGACACCATTCATCATCGTAGATAACACGCGGGTGATCACTAGAACCAAATGTTTCACGCAAAATGATAAAATAAATTATTCCAGTCCGCTTTTCGAATAACATCATCAACAGAAACTTCGTCGACCTTTGTGGGAAACTATTCCGAAAACGACTCATAAAAACTAATCGTGCCATGGGAACGAGCTACCCTTTGGTCTATTTACTTCATCCACGTGTTTTCAAATGGAACACGGTTAAAATATCGAATTTTGCATCAGTTGATACCGTTTCTTCTCATATTACAATAATATATCAAAACAGTGCACTGCAAATGTTAAATTCGAAACGGCTAATGAAACGGAACAAGATGACGGATCTCCGGAACAAACTCGTTTCCTCTAACCCATGTGAGGACACCCACTCCGAGATATCCCATGGCACCATGGAGAATTTACTCGACGAGCACTACAACGACATTTGTGGTGAAAATGATGAAATCCAGAAGCAGTAGCCGAAACTATAAGCAAGGAACTACGAAGACCATCGCGAAAGGTGGATGCGAGGAAACGAATCGAATGCAGAAGGTGCTGGGATCGGCACAATTTGACAAATGAGTTGCTGGGCTATGCAAAAAAATTGCTTACGAATAAAATTTCACGAAAACCGCAACGTGTATCCGTTTATTAGTCTGTAATTTCACTGGTATAATAGTTCAATAAATAGCTTAAAAGTCGATTCAAAACTTATTCGAATAGCAATATCTATCAACACTTGAAGAAAAAGGCAAGAAATCTAATCAATATTTCCAACATGACCGATAGGTGTATCTGTGATGTTTAAAAACGGTGAAAATAATTTCTTTATCTTTTATTCAACGCCACGATAAAAATGAATAATGTAAGGATAATATTCTACCTAAAAGAAGAAGATGAACTTCAGATGTCGCAGAATTTTAAGCTATTCATGAGATTTCATTAATTTTAGCATACCTTTTTATAACCTCTCTTTGCTTCAACTCCAATTTACATGGAATGTACTCGTTCTTCTCCGGAATATGCAGCGCGGGATTAAAAATTTCCTGAGCAGATTTGAATCGTTTCATCATAACCTTAAAAAACAGAATAAGAAGCGAGACGGATGGATAACAAAGCACTTCGAAAAAATGATGTATTATATTTACTACGTTGGTTGGTTGTAGCGTGGGCTCAAAAACACGATTATGGAAACTATTGTTAAATAAGGTATACAAACACAAGGAGAAAACTTGTTCTCAACTACTTAAGAAAGTAAAGTAATTCGAAAGGTTGATTCTAAAGCAAGGTGAAACAATTTTCTGAAAGGTTTACCTAGAACAGAAAAAAACAGAAACAACCAACAAGATCTTCCCCAAAAACTTGCATATCTAATTCCATTATAGTGGGTGCATCACCAAAAATGTCTGCCAAAACCATGAAAGAATGAAGCTCTTGGCATTGATCAATCCTTTACGGACATACCATGCATTCGACTTTATTAAGCATTCCTAGAGGTGACTGAATCCAAATCTGGATTATAATTGCGGTGAATTACCGATGTATGAAGCTAGTGCTTTTATCCTCCTACACAACACTAGTAGAGCGCATGTGACGCAGTGGCCGCAGGCGTCCTGCAATGCACACGTGGGATCCATCCCGCGCCCGTGGTTCGTCAAGCCTTCCATGCCTTCGTGGTCGGCTACCAGACTTATGTGGGAGGATAGCAGCACTGGCTCGATACATTGGTAGGCCACCGCGAGTCATTGTAAAAGCCAGATATGCATACATTCAATCACCTCCAACGATGCTTAATGAAGTCGAACTCATTGCGCATCCCTCAGAGATTGACCAACGCCGAAAGCTTTATCCTCTTATCCTTTTTATACAACACTGGCACCAAATTGCTAACCTCAGAATGAGGAAAGGCTTGGTGAGTCCAGGACGCGGGATCGAACCAAGAATAACGTGTGTATTGCAAGGCACTCCTGACCACTGCACTACACATTAAAATCATACCTCGTCAATTTCTTTTATACTCATTTCTGTTCCATAAACGGGTTCCTCAATATTACACGGCTGACCAGCAAACTGCCTCGCAGTCACTGTATAGAACATATTTTCCGGCGATAACATATCAACTATTTCCATAATACGTTCTAGAAATCCATAATAGTCACTAACACGAAGAGATAATTGTACCATGATTTCGACATACTGGGATTAAATTCAGGCAGCAAATAACGCCAAGAAAGAATATCTTCAAACGGCACATGTTTCAACTCTGAAGCGATTTTCGTCGCTAAAGACATGGGATTCTCCTTGTCCTAAAAAGATTTCAGCCGATTATGTTTAACACCGGAATACGAAGTAAGAAAGTAAATCAGCAACCTTGAAACGGAACCTGAGTTCACCCAATTCCTTAAGCTCTTCCTGTATCCAAGCCATGGCTCCAGTACGTTTGATCAATCCAATGTAGCTGAACACTAGTGCCACTATGTCTTCAGTGTGATCAATTCCATCTGTAATATTTGAACATGACCAGAAGTACTTAACACGTTAAAAACACTTTCTCAATTTTTGTTAACGACGGCGCTGAACTGCGTCCAATTACTGCCCTGCGCGTTGTGAGTCGCAAATTGCTCACAAGGTTAGCCGTGCGTTAAAACCACGCAATAAATAAGTGGCAAAACAGAAACGAAATTAACGATTGCTGATATAATATACAATCAGTCAAACAAGATAAAAATGGATTAGATACAGATATTAAGAAGTAGACATACCAGGACTGAGATCAACATGAATGTCGAATGTACTGATTCCCTTTGCAAGATTCGTTTCGCCGGCTGTTAGTGAGCTTACCCATCCTAGTCGCTTTAACTCGGACAACAAGGAGCCTTTACCTTCGTGGCCCAATAAGTGAGCTAGAAAACAAAATAAAAGCAAGCCACAAAAGGAAAGGAGAACCTTCGAACAACAGTATCGATTCATAGTAAATTAGAAAACTGGCGATAACAACAACCGACAAGTCCGCAAGACAGAAAATCTTACAGATATAATGCGCAGGATTTGACTTGTATTCAGCTTGTAGGTCAGGAATCGGAAAGCGAACCATAAGACTGCGTGAATCCTTGACTGGCACGATCTAAGTCGATTTTTGAAGTAGACAATTAAAAGTGAACATGCTTATCTTCTAGGTCTCCAAATTTATGACATAAATTTGAAAAAATGTTTAGGTTTTGAGATAAAGGATTACCTTGAGTTACTAACAATGTAACGAAGTAACATTCTGAACACACCTCAATGCGTTTTCCAAGCTGCTCTTTTCCATACGGACTGTCCAGCCATTCTTTCGGTGTTATATTTTTGTTTTCAATGGTATCAAATCCAAGTGTGCCCAAGTACGACTCCAGTTCATCTAGCGATTCGGAACCAACAATACAGAGGGACATTCTGAAAACAAACAGAGTAAAATATGTTGACAATTTAGTGACAATGACAGCACAATAAGTTCCACAAAGTCTTGGATTTTTCCGACAAAGAATCTACTACACGAAAGTGAGGACCTTCATGAATAACAAAACCATGCGGTTTTGACATCTTCTATCTATTCTATTTCATTGTTTCGAATTATCACTAGTAACTAAATTTTCTTATGTAAAATGATGAAGAGGAACGTTTCAGAAAAAGACGAAACGTTAAAGCAAATTTATTTCTAACTTACATGTTTGAGCTATACCACTTCTTATGGAATGTAAGCAAAGCCTCCCTCGGTTCAATACCTTTTTCTCGTGCGTCTTCCATCAACGTTTTCTGAAATGAAGAAGTATAGCACTTAAATAACAAGCTAAAGTGGAAAGCAAATCATCTTACAATACCCATATAATTTAATCTAACATTAAGTGCGAGACGAGACACTTACCTTATTACCAGTACCAAACTTTCCGTAATCGTGACCGGGTTTTGAAAGAAACCTGGATTCATTTTTAATAAAACTTTTAGCGGAACCATTTTACGCATAAAAAAAGCAACTATGAAACAAAGTTTGAAATGCGTACCTTTCCACTTGTAATCTCCGCCAACCATCGTTTTTCAAGTTATTTGAATGCTCAGAATCGACTGCACAGACCTGTAAACATGTGGTGTGGGTACACTCGTAGAATTATTCATAGCAAATATTACAGAGACGGCAGTAACCTCTCTTTCTGTCGCACTTTCGGTGAACTGTGGAGCCAGAAAAAATTGCACGAATCGATCTAAAGCTCCCTAAATCGTATCGCATTTACCTCCAATATCAGTAGAAATGGAAAACGTGCTGATATGGACACGATACAGGACCTGCAACTGGTCTGGTTTTACGTCAAAATGGTAATTCGTATGATCGGCTGCCGTATAAGCGTTTGTGCTTCCACCATGAGCAGATATGAACTAAAAAAAGTTCACTATTGAAGAGCAGAATAAGCTTCCAGAAAGAAATGTGTTTAAAAACTGCAGACTAAACCGATAAAAATTCAACAGACTTTACTGTATTCATTCTCAGAGGGGTACTTATCGGTACCTAGAAATAACATGTGTTCGCAGAAATGAGCTGTACCCGGCAGTTCCCATGGGTCCATAAGGTGCCCTGGAATTATTCACGTCAGCGTACAACTTCTGCTGTAAATAGATGACAGCCCCATGTTAAGTAGCATCCAATGTTCTTGTAATCAGAACAACAATAGTTTCTATTCTAAAAAAGCTACCACAGTTTCGCAATATGTTGTCATCTTTATAACCAGGCGAAAAAAGAAAGTCATTCAAATTCAACCTTGCTCCTCTTTTAATTACAGGTCTTCAAGGAATACCTCTCGTGCTCCCATAACAATGGATATGTACGGCAATAGAACTTGTACATGTTGATTGCCAACACTGAAATAATACCCACCGGCATTCACATCTATGGCAGCAGCAGATTTATCAGTAGTGCGATCTGATACCAGAAAAACTTTCAGACCATTTGTTAGCTCAAGACCGCGAAACTAAAAGTGAAATTTACCAAGAATATTGCTGCAAAAAACAGAACTCTAGACCTTTTTACCTTTTTTGGAGATTAAATCAAGAAGATTAATGACATACTTCTCTTTGATCTTCAGGGCTTTTCACGATGTCATTGTGTCTTCGGAGCACAATATTCTTAGCGTTCATCTGAGACGCTATTTTAGTCATAAATCGAGGTTGCTGTACAGAGACAAATACCCGTCCACTTCTGAAACTTCTGAAAACATCGTTAAAAAAACTGAACATGGAACCACAAATAATATGACGAACTTTATAAACATCACGACAAAGTTGAAAACAGGATGTTAAACGCTCAAATGGTTTAGGAATAGAAAGTTAGTTGGTAATAAATGGTGAAATGACGTTGTCTAATGCCACTTGGAACAATTGCCCTTAGCTGAAAAAATGAAATTTGAATGGGATCACAAATGTTAGACCGCCGGCACGACGACAAAGCTATTTTCACTTGTGTTTTATGAAACGTCTAGAAGACAGCCTTTTCTAGTGGTTTAGCGGCTCATGACAGAAGGATTGTCCCAGGACGGCAAAATGCAATTTAGAGCTGCGCACCGATTCTCAGCAGCTAAGCATCGAGATTTTTATACCGTAGCTAAGCTAACTGCCTCCCAACAATCAACAATCGTCGCCTTTCTGCTAGCAGTCCAGTCTCAAGTGATAAATCTCCCTTCCACAAACACTTGTAAATGGTGATCGCTTTGCAAAGTGCCGGCATGGCAATCTTAAGAAACTAGGGGCAGAAATTCTACCACAGGTTTCAAATGATTCTTAACAAACACAGGCTGCTGAAGTATAAAGGGTTCGAAACTGCAGAAAAAGACATCCTTTCTCAACTAGGAAATTACCGTTCAAATGGAGCATGTGGTGATACCCCATGCTTCTTCCTATCCAAGTATTCCGGTAATTGTTCAGCAATTATGCTTTTAAAGAGCCCATCTCACATTAAACTTCCACACCGTCAACATAACAAACTATGAACCTATGGAGGAACCAAAGCATTGTAGACTAATCCAAGCATTACGAATTATGTAGAAGAAAGGTGAAATTTGGTGCTAGCAATAATTTATAAGCGCTACTACCTTTGCATACGTCCTCTTATAATGTCAAAATCAGTAACAGATAGCATTGCAGATAACCCAATCCAATTAAAGTGATGTTCAAATGTGTTTCAGAATTGAAACAACTCAGATACAGAAACGAAAGAAAATGTGATCGTATGGGATGCCTCACAACGTCGGCTCTACCCGTAAAAGACATAGAATGATAATTATGTTTAGACCACATCACATTACACAGCTATTTGAATTCTTAGCGGTTGGTCCCCATCACTAATAAGAATAAGTGGAAGTCCAACAGAAACGGTAAGCTTCTAAAGAAGCTATTTCCAATGCGACTAAAATTTAGGTTTCGGGCTTTTCTGTCAAGCTCATGGAAGTATTTAACTTAGAGCACACATCAACTAAATCTTTGCAGGCTCTCAAGAGCACGAAGTCCACGGAGATGTAAGCTATCGGAGATATGGAGTATAATAGCAACATCATATCTTTATATGAAGAAAATAGGAAATTATCGTGTTTCATAATTTCTCTCGAACCGAAGTCTAAGGTCTCCTCACTAACTAGGCACCTACAGAAGTAATAGAATTAATGAAGCTAATTAGAGTATAACTTAGTATCCAAGTTTTCGTAGGCGTTTCTCGATAGGAGGAATCTAACTCCACGGAGTAGACGAGGGTAGTTGAGAGAGTAAAACGTTGTTTAGAACCACACACCTAACCAATGTGATTCTTGACTTAGCCCGTTATGCTTCTTACAAGAAATAACCGTTGCGCAGATAACAGGTAAACACCATTTAAAACAACCCCGACAAAGGAAGGTGAAGGAAAAAAGATGACTTTCTAGGAAGTTTTCTTTGATGAATTAATAAACGCAAAGTGCAGTAAGGTAAGAAGGCTACGGGAATATAACACTGTGAAAGGAAAATAATGACAGAAGAGTAAACGAACTTAAGAATCCGAGTGGATGTCGAAATGCTGACTGAACGAGTCGAACCTGCAAGCGTAGAAGACCAAACGCGCACCGGTCGAAGTGCTAAGCCAAAAATAAAATGCATCAACCAAGAAGATAATGCGGCCGAAAACTGAAATCATCGCATGAAAACAAGCATTCCATTGAAAACAACGACAGAATAGAAGAAGAAAAAATGAATGCACCCGGATCCGAAGAAACTTGGGCCACTAAAGATCGCTATATTTATGGATGCAGTTCCAAATCCTTCATTACTAAAACGACCTAGATCGAAATCCGCACTAATACAACATCCCACTTGTAAGATTTACTAGAAGCCACCTAATTAATCTAAGGACACCAAACAACTGCATTCCAAATGAATGAGAACTTCAGAACGTCATTTGCCTTCGAAGGCAGCTGAGTGAACCTCTTAAAGGACCAATTTTCAACCTAAATAAATCCGGACTAGTTGCCTAACATTAAAAAAACTAAATACAATAATACCTAAAAAATCCAACAAAATTACGAACTATCTATGCAAAACAGTAGCAATCGCATGTTATGCCGCCTGAAGTTGCTCTCATTAAACCCAAAAACTATAGCGTTTCGAGAACATACAACATCATTAGGACAAAGCCAACACCTGCCTTATCGATTTACGTTGATCTTATAAAGTAACATAACAATGGGAATACCTGAAAGTACGGAATAGAACTGTCACTGATCCGTAATGCTGCGTGCGATCGTGTATTATTGGAAAACGCGTGAAAAACTTGGATGACCCGCCTTTACACGTCATGCGGGTCCCACCACTTCTTCCATTCCCTTCGTTGTTCGGTCACTGACATCCAGGGTGAAGGACCACTTCGTCTTCTGTCCTTTCGAAAAAATTGGATGCTGGTCGAGGGTAATTCTTCCTAAAACGCTAAAATAGCCGTAGGATACCGTTCCGGGATTACCCCTTTGCTACTCAGCTCCTTCTGCAACGGCAGCGAATCCTGTGAATCGTCCGTTTGAGGACGATTGACTAGCAATTTGTATTGCTTTAGTAGTTAGAAGAATGTTCTGTTGTGTCTAATTCTACAATTTCGAGAACTGTTGTCGATAAACTGAGCAGGAAATGTCTTCAGATGGAACAAAGTACTCCACATAGTACATCTTCATATGTTTTTGATCTGGTACTAATGTATGACTAACCAGAGAAGACAGAACGTTTGCCGTCACAGCAATCACGCATGACCACTCTCTGTAAAGCAACAACTTTTTCTTCTATCCTTAGGGTATCCTTAGGTAATAACCACATGACACCGTTGTGTATCGAATCACTATCAGAGTGCAAAAGCTTGGTCTTCAGATTTACCTCCGTGTCATATGTCTGCATTTTAGGTACACTCGTCTAGGAGGTCAACGAGTGTTCCTCCTGAGTGTTGAGCTATGATGGAATTCCACCCTCTTTTGGTCGATGTCAAGCATGCTCACATTGAATCCGAATTCTGGAGACCGTTTGTCTAATTACAAGCATTAGGATTTTTCTACTTGGTGGCTTCTAGCCCAAGTATTTAGATAGAAGCAGCATGATAGATTGTGTTTCTGCGAATACAGTAAAATTTAGTACAAGGATAGAAGGATAAAGCTCTCTGCGTTGATCAATTCCTGAAGAATTTACCATGCATTCAACTTCATCATGCATCGTTAGAGGTGACTGAGTGCATATCTGGCCTATGCAATAACTTACGGTGGCCTACCGATGTAACGAGTGAGCGCTGTTATCTTCCCAGACAGGTCTCGTACCAATTTGCCTACATCGGAGGGATGGAAGGTATGGTGGGCGGGGCGCAAGATCGAACCCATGTGTATTGCAGGGCGCCTCTAATCGCTGCGTTACACGCACCGCTAAAATTCTCTATGGGTTAAAAAGAGCAGTTACATTCAGGGATTTTAGTGAGGAGCTTTGACGGGATACAGTAGTTCGTGTCAGCTGTCAGTACGAAATAATTGCCAGTCCTATATAGAATGCTCGACTTCGTATGATTTTGCCCCACGGGGCTTCTTGCTGTTGCCGCAGATCAAACCTCATATTCAAACTCGAGTCATTAACCTTTTATGGGCAATAATAACGTCAAGGCAACATTGAAAATCTGACGATAACAAGACAGTGTAAGCGACAAAACAATAATAGAGTCAATGAGCGAGGATGATCAGTAAGAAGTTAGCATGAGGTAAGAGAGTAGTTTTGAAATAGGCTTGTGGAGTTATACGATGTATAAGTGTTAGGTAGAACACATCAATAAAAGTGCAATGGGATTAACGTAGTAGAAGGCACCTTTAGCCGTTTATATTTACTTCTACGATGGGAGGACTTTTCCTAGAGACAGTTAAGAGATGTCTCTCGAGAAGAGGTGCTGGACTTCTCTTAGGCAGTACAATCTGGAAAGACTGATCCAAAGCATATTATGAAAGCCATGAGAAGTTATCACCTGTATCACCTGTAGTCCCGTTGATCGTCGAGTGATTCGAGCGGGTGCCAGTAAATCTTCCACTTTTCTTTGTCGCGTGCAAGAGTAGCCCAGTGGGTTCTGCTCGCTCTAGGAACTCATCGAGCATCATATCTTTCTTCAAGGCTTTTTGTGAAGAACTCTGACGATCGGTTCGGCGATCTTCCTGCAGTACGTTTGACATCCCGAAGAATTCAGTCACTAACGGCTTTTATCCATCGGTTGTCGTTCATACGCATTACGTGTCCGGCCCACCTTATCTTCGACTGTTTGGCGTACAGAACGGCACCCTTGATTTTTGATCGTTGACGCAGATCGGAGCTTCGGATCCCACCCCTTACATGTGCGGAACGAGATACTCCTAGCATTGTCCTATTGACTGCACGTTCAATAACGCTGAGTGACCTTTCACCCTGCTTACGAAGCGACCAGGTTTCTGACGCATACGTTAGGGCGGGAAGTACCGTTGAGTGGAAAAGATGGGCACGGAGTCGTGTGATCTTTGTTCTCTTCACTATATCCTCGATGCTCTTGAAAGCTCCCCAAGCCGCTCGTGCTCAGCTCTGGAGCTAGGTCGTTCATCATATTGATTTCCCGATCTAGATAGACATAACTGGAGCATTCGGAGATATTCGTTTCGTTGAGT